AATCTATACTCGATTCAGTCATTTGTAGTAACTTCTTCGTAGTTTCCTGGTATGCTGAGAAATATTGCATGTTTTCTGTAAGCCCTAAACGTTTGGACACCTTTTAGAACGTAAACATTTCCTCGTTAACAAATATCTTAACAACATGCAATATATAGGCTATAGACGTGAAATATTCGTGCGTTTTCTTACCAGTTCCCAAGTCATATTGGGAGCAGTACATGTAGCATTCACTGTCATAGGTCTTTCCATCGTCACCGCACACTGAACCGCTGTTGTCGTACTCACATCCACGCAAAAAGTCACAGCTATCGGGTTCGATTAGAGGTGTGGTAATTGGGGGACGTGTAACAGGTTCTGGCGTGGTAGGAGGGGTCGTGGTGGGAGGTGCTGGCTCTGTTGTCAGTGAGCTACAAGCCCCACGATGCCGAAGCTTGACTTCACCTGTAAGATCGAGAAATTAATGCAAAGTTAATAATTCGCGTTAGAATCCGCAGTTTGCAGCCACAATATCTGGAGTTAACATTATCCTGGAACGTGCGTGCTAACCGTAATACGTCCTTTAATTTGCAAGGGCATCGGATGCAAGAATAACAAGACAATTGAATGACTTACGCACCATATACCAGATTAGACAGAAGCCATCGCGTATCATAGCTTCCTGGTTGTGCTAGTAAGAGACGTGGGATTTTGGGGTTTCTATGCCTATATATTTCATGCTCTTAGATTTTGAAAACATTTTATAACGTAAGAATGTCCTCGTTAACAAATATCTTAACAGCATGCAATAGCCGTCAAAACATTAGTGCGTTTTCTTACCTGTTCCCAGGTCATATTGAGAGCAGTAGAGGTAACATTCACTGCCATAGGTTTTTCCATCGTCACCGCACACAGAACCGCTGTTGTCGTGCTCACATCCACGCAAAAACTCACAGCTGTCGTGGGGAGGTGTGATGGGACGAGTGATAGGGGTGGGGGTGGGAGGGGCGGTGGTTGCATCTGCCTCTTCATTTCTCAGCGTTTCACAGGCACCGCGATACTGCACATTGACTTCACCTGTGAGATCGAAAAATTGGCAAAAGGTTAATTGAGAAGGTCAATAGGGTTTCTTCGCAATCTTAACACCAGCTGTCGCTATGGCTGAGCGCAACAGGCTTGATCATTTACAGGGTCGGTGTCAGGGGCATACCTTTTGTTCATATGCCTTTTGACCTAATAAACGCACTGGGATTTAAGGATTTCCAGTTAAATACAGTCATAACTTTGGTATATCTCGGCTAGCATGTGCATCGCTAACTAAAGCAGGCTGGAATTAAACAGAAAAAATGCAGCAAGTTACTGACTACTAAAGTCAGGCTGTAGAGAGACATATAACACAGCAAAGGCTGCTCCATCACTCACACGACATACTCTGTGGCCAATAAATAAACGACTGTATTAAGAATAATTTCTGAAGCAGAACGCGCTAGAAAGAGTCACCGCGTGCTATAGACAATAAAGCACGAGGTTTCTCGACAATATAGCAGCAAAGATGGGAGCGAATCGTGTCATTAATCTAAGTGTTATTAAGTCTAATCATTCATCTGAAGCTCAAGCTAGGTTGTTGTCAGAATAACACAACTAAAATCGGTCCTAGTACTTTACGCTTTCGTCATGGTGCTAGTTTCTCTCGCACAGCTGTAGGCTCGTTCTGACAACAACCTCTCTTTCCGGGAATTATTAGCTGCCTGTAGTAAGACTGTCAGCAGACTGTGAGGCAGTCTTTTGCAGTAAATGTAGAAGCATCGGGACATCGCCTGCACCCGCCAAAAGCAGAGGTAATGTTTGACGGGTCAGCAGTGGATACAGAAGTGCCACCTACAAGTGATTGCATGCACCCGGTAGAAGCAGATGTACTGGTTGACGCATCAGCAGTAGAGACATAAGCGCCATCTGCTGATCATCGCATGCACCCGGCAGAAGCAGAGGTAATGGTTGACGCGTCAACAGTAGAGACATACGCGCCATCTGCTGGTGATTGCATGCATTTGGTAGAAGCGTAAGCAAACCTGATCCCACACCACACGTGCGCGAAGTTGCTTATAAGCGACCAATTAAATGTTTATGCATTATCGCTTCAGTGAGCGAGTGTGATCGTTCACGTTTGTGCGTGGCGCCACATAGCTGCTCTTGGAAAAGTGACAAGTGAGCAAGAATTGCACACATAAAGTACAGGCAGGCTTGCAGATGTAATTCAAGCAAACAGTGGCGCCTCCAAGCGAGTGGCGATAGAATGCATGCGTCAGAGAGCGGATGTCAGTCAGCGTTTATTACCGGTTCCGTGGTCGTACTGGGCACAGTAGAGGCGACATTCGCTGGCGTAGGTGTTCCCGTCGTCGCCACACACGACGCCGGTGACGTCACGCTCACACCCACGTACAACATCACAGCTGTTGTATGCGGGAGCGGTGGGTGAGTTGACGATGACGACGGTGGCGGTGGCGTCGGTGATAGGGATGGAGGAGGAAGTGTAAGAATTTGCGGTGGGAGGTAGGGTTGTGGGTGTCGTAGTTGGAGGGAGGGTGGACGGAGCGGTGGTGGGTGGAAGTGATGTCGGGGCGGTGGTGGGCGGTATGGTAGTGGGAGGGGTGGTTGTGGGAGGTGGTGCTGGAACCTTGGTGAAAGAAAGGAGGACAGAAGAAAGGTTTGCGGGTGGAGCAGTAGTGGGTAGAGAGGTGGTGGGTGGAGCGGTGGAGGGTGGAGAAGTAGTAGGTGGAGAATCAGTGGGTGGATAAGTGGTGGCTGGAGAGGCGGTAGGTGCAGTGGCAGTGGGTGTGGAGGGTGGAGAGGTGGTGGGCAGAGAGGTGTTGGGTGGAGAAGTAGTGGATGGAGAAGTAGTGGGTGGAGAAGTAGTGGGTGGAGAAGAAGTGGGTGCAGAAGTAGTGGGTGGAGAGGTAGTGGATGGAGCGGTGGTGGGTGGAGCGGTAGTGGGTGGAGAAGTAGTGGATGGAGCGGTGGTGGGTGGAGCGGTAGTGGGTGGAGAAGTAGTGGGTGGAGAGGTAGTGGATGGAGCGGTGGTGGGTGGAGCGGTAGTGGGTGGAGAAGTAGTGGGTGGAGAGGTAGTGGATGGAGCGGTGGTGGGTAGAGAAGTAGTGGGTGGGCTAGCGTTATCGAGCAGCCGTGGTGGCGCGAGACACTCTCCCTCATATCTCGTTACCAGCGACCTATCCGTCATTCTCGCGCACGCCAGCTGACACGGGTTTCCGTACGTCCGCTCATCGCTCCCACACAGAGGCTCGTACTCCGTACTGCACGGGCAGGCGCCAGGGGCCGCCACCAGCGTCGCCTCGTCCGCCACGACGACGCTACTCTGATCGGTGGTGGTGGTGGTGGTGCCACTAGGTGGAAGTAGGATAGCACCGCAGGCGCCCTTGTGTTTCACGCTCACTGCGGCTGTTGATGACATCATAACGTGTTACCGACCTTACTCCTCTCGATTGATATCTCCCCCCCCCACACATATATATATATACACAATATATATATATATATATCTATATCTGATTATCAGATATGGGGTTAGGCCTGCCAGCTTTCATAGGTTTATCTTTCCTCTACTCGGTGTCACCCTACCGCCTTCATTCTGTATCCGAGTGCATAATTTTATGATGATTTTTGACAAATTCACATAGAAATATCTGTTAAGAAATGCTAAGTAATAAGAATAAATCCCAGGGAATGTCGCATTCGAGGCCAACATGATGACATTCCCTCTGTCATTCTGTAAATACTCGCAAACGTATAATTGCTGATAAAAGTATAAAAGATCGATGTCACCTTACAAGAATATTTTGACCTTGCAATGTCGATACAGGATTGCAATGAATTTATGACCTTGCAATGTCATTGGGACACCTTGCAATGTCGCTATCACCTAGCAATTCCATTGTAACTTTGCATGCATTGTAGTTATGACCTTGTAATGTCGTTGTGACCTTGTAATGTAGTTACAAACTTGCAATGTCATTCCAACCTCGCAATATCGTTACGACCTTGAATATTTCCTGTGACCTTGCTATAGCTACTCCGCGACCTCGTAACCTCGTACACATCAGTTCTTAAAGTTCAAGGGACTATATCGAAGACGGAAAGAGACAGAAACGTTGATCAAATAGACCTCATACCTGTCTGTCTGTGTTGCTGTCCGCAGGTGAGCAGACATTCGTTGTCGTAGGTCAGGTCGTCCGTGCCGCACACGGGAGCGTACTCGCTCGTGCACAGACAGGCTGGAGGCACCTCCGTGACAACGGGCCCTAGCAACGAGACGCCGCATAGTTATCGATGGCGCTGCGGACGACGCTCTCTCGAGCACGAGCACAGGTAATTACAAAGGCGGGGTTTGCGCCGAATTATCCAAGAACTATCACATTTACTTTTCATTATAAATATTTATAAACATTATCAAGGAATAATGGTAATAATGATATTTATAATAATAATAATGATATTAATAATGATATTAAATAATCGTAGTCATCGTAATAGTACAGTCGCAAATTTACTATTTAGAATCGTTAGAATTTTCTCTAAGTAACTGAATGAATTTTGCGCAGTTGACACGCGGTCGCCGCCAGCCCCAGGTGTAAATTAATTAACAGGTGATAATTTATCAACATACCTGCGTCACAACAGGTGAGAATTAATTAACCGATGAGAATTTATCAACATACCTGCGTCGCTACAGGTGAGAATTAATTAACAATTGAGAATTTATCAACATACCTGCGTCACTACAGGTGAGAATTAATTAACAGGTGAGAATTTATCAACATACCTGTATCACTGCACACGCGAAAGTAGTCGACGTGGAGCAATGGTTTTTCCCTCTGGGCGCAGCCTAGCTCGCACACGTTGCTATAGGTGACCCGGTCCGTACCACACACGGGCGTGAACTCTCTGTTGGGGTCAAAGTGAGAGCACACGTTACATGGATTAAATCGATATAATTATATTTGCTACATATTTTGTGGTGTGTCCGCCAACATGGTTTACTTGGTTGGGTTACAACTATGCGAGTATTTCACGTATATAACCCTACAAACTACCAATAACTAATATACCTACCTACAACTACCCTACTACTACCTACATTAACCCTACAGTAATCTTAACTGTAACCCTAACCATATACGTGAACTTGATCTTAACCATTAACCTGAATCCTAAGCTATACGTTTCTACGCGTATATTTCTAAGCTCCAAAACTCATAATTTCATGCCCTAAACCTTAACCCTTTGAACCTATTGGCTGAATAATGAATCCTGCATAAATTCATACCGCGTGCACACGCAGTCGTTGATAGATGGCGCTGGAGTGGCCGGCTCTTCCGTCACATCTCGGCACTCTCCTTCGTGTTGCACGGCCAGCCACTGCATGTCCTTGCGTGTCTGTCGCAGGCACTCGATCTCACACGGGTTGCTGTAGGTGCGACCGTCGCTGCCACACTGAGGGTTCCAGTCACGAGGACACTCGCATGCGTCGGGCGCCACTGCAAAGTACGCACGAACACGGTTAGTGATGACGTAGGCAGTAAAGGCAAGTGACGTCCTCGCATATATTATTATTAATGATGCATATAGTTATTTCGTTACTATTTATTATATTTCACGATACTTTTAATAGTTTGTTAACATGTTTTCCTCTGTTATTCTTTACCAGTATAGTAAAGTTAATTTAGGCCAGTGGTGTACTAATCGCGATCACATTTTCTCTTTCTTTGTTTTATTGATTTATTTATTTATTTATTCATTCTTCTTTCTTTCTTTCTTTCTCGCTCCTGTTTCCTCAAACCACACACGCTGTCTCTGCCTCTCTCCCTCTCTCTCCCCCTCTCTATCTCGCTCACCTTTCACGCACTCTCCGTCGTAGGCGACCTTCAGGTCCTGCATGCCTGGATCCTCGTACCGCGAGCAGTTCAGATCGCACGGGTTCGCGTACGTGCGACCGTCCGTACCACACAGCGGGTCCCACTCCAGCGTGCAGATACACGGGTCCGGCAGCTCTGCATCGTCAAACGTAAGGTGTCAACGTCAAGATTGAGGTGTTAACGTCAAACGTGAGGTGTCAACGTCAAACGTGAGGTGTCAACGTCAAAGGTGAGGTGTCAACGTCAAACCTGAGGTCTGACTCAATGCATATACAGAAAGGTTGAAGGAGTTATTATTATTATAAACAATTTAGATTTAGATTTTAATTAACATTTTATACAATTAATTCTTTCTTAAGATTTGTAAATCTCTACAAAAATGTCTTTAAAAAATTTAAAGACAGGCACGGACGTAAAAAGAGTTCACGTGTCTTACTCACCCTGGCAGGCGCCACTGTAGAGCAACTCGACAGCTGATTGGCTGGCGGCACACTCCAGTTCGCAGGGGTTCGGGTAGGTGATGGCGTCGGTGCCACACTGCGGGTCCCACTCCTTAGCGCACTTACATCGCTGATCAGTGCCCGTGTCCTCTGTAACAGCGAACAAGGCGTTGCAAAGTTACATGAAGCTTATTTTAATGTCCCTGCGAGGTTACTTACAGCTTACTTCGATGATAGTTTTAATGTTATTTCATTGTTATTTCATTGTTATTTCATTGTTATTTCATTGTTATTGCATTGTTGTTTAAATGTTATTTTACTGTTGTTTCATTGTTTTTTCATTGTGACTTCTAGGCTGCTTCAGTCTCTCCAGGATTGTTTCGAGAATAGTTCAAAGTCAGTTTGAAGTTATTACAAGGCAATGTGAAGGTTATCTGAAGGTTACTCTGAACCTACTCGTTTATAATGAGGGCAAACTCAGCACGCACCTGTGGGGCAACTACAATCTGCCGCGTGACACCTGTATTCTGCTTCGCGACACCTGCACTCACCTGTGGGGCACCTGAAATCTACGGCCTGACACCTGCACGCACCTGCAATCTACCACATCACACCTGCACTCACCTGTAGGACACCTGCCGCGGAAGGCCACGGAGAGGTTTTCCTTGCCCAGTATGCCGCGTGAACACTCGAGTTCGCACAGGTTGAAGTAGGAAACCATGTCGGTGCCACACACCGGGTCGGCGTCCTCCGAACAGAGACACGATGGAATGAAGGTCTCCACGCAGGCTCCCGCATGCTCCAGCTCTGGTAGTGGATAGAGAAAGAGAGATAAGTACACAGAGGAGAGGTGAATGGGGAGGAAAATGGGGAGAGAAAGAGAGATAAGTACACAGAGGAGAGGTGAATGGGGAGGAAAATGGGGAGAGAAAGAGAGATAAGAACACAGAGGAGAGGTGAAGTGGGGAGGGGGGCTAGGGTTATATATTGATATACACGTTAGAGGGAGAGGGAAAATGGGGGAAGATGGGGGATGAAGGCTATGGAGAGAAAGAGAGAGAGAGAGAGAGAGAGAGAGAGAGAGAGAGAGAGAGAGAGCTAGGCCATGAGGGAGAGAGAAGGAGAAAGGGTGAGAGGGGAGATCGAGAGTACAAGGGAGAGAGAGGGAGAAAAGACAAAGAGATCAAGAAAGAGCGGTAGAGAAGAGATAAAGAGAAAAGGAGGAATTGTTGGACGATGTTCTTGACCATGAGAATTTGGAACAGTAAACGGTGAAATTAAACCATTGTTATTTAATAATAGAAAGGCAGAAAATGTCACCTGGTTTTTTTGTCAGTGCCACCAGAGTCAACATCTCGTTGACAGGGTCTCATTTACGGTTTAAGGATCATGACGGGGCAATTAGACAATAAACTAAAATCCTTGAATTTCTTACTTATTCCTGACTGTCTGGAGGAGCATTCCAGGAAGCAGGTGTTGTCGTAGGTGTTGCCATCTGTACCGCACTGAGGATCGTAGTATTCTGGACATGCACACCCTTCTTTCATTGTTTCATCTGGAAACCAAACAGAGGGCATTAGAATGGGCAAAGAAATTAATTAAGAGATTTAAAGAATGCATCCGCATTAGAATGTTAACTTTATTAGGGTTTAAAAAAAAGTTGTTTTTTACCAATAAACAGTGGGCTTGCATTGCGCCAGTTTCTAATTTAGCTAGTTACCGGTAGCGCCTACCTTCCGCCGATTTTGTGCCTTATTTTGTAGCTTCTCTCCTACATCTCCAGTTTCACCTGCTTATTTCCCACACCTTCCTATCGTTTTTCCCACATTCCACTTTACCTGAAGCTACCCCGTTATAGCCTGGCTAAACCTTCTATTCTTCTAGTAATACGTGCTCTTTCGCCCAGGCTTGCCCCCAGACTGACCCGTCATTTTTCCTGGGTTTCCCACCACGCATTCTCTCTCCCTGACTTCCTTGTAGCACTTTATCTGTAGTTTTCTCCTTACCGCCTGGCTAAACCTTCTACTCTCCCGCCTAGGTTTGGTCCTTTATACTCACCCGTAATTTTTCCTGGTTTCTCCACCACGCATTCTCCTTCGCTGACTTCCAGCAGTCCGTTTATTCCAGAGATGATGCGCGCACAGCCGAGCAGGCATCTGTTGGTGTAGGTCTTACCGTTGCTACCGCACACGGGCGTGTACTCCTGCGTGCAAATACACGAATCCTTCTTCTGGTCTGTAGTGGGAGACGAAGAACATATGTTTGAATGAAATAAAGAGGAGGAGGGAAAGGATGAGGAAAAAGAAGAAGAAGAAGAAGGAGAAGAAGAAGAAGAAGAAGAAGAAGAAGAAGAAGAGGAAGAAGTGGCACAGAGAGTTAGGCTACGTTTCGATTACGTTTTTGTAGCGGCAAGGCCCAACACATTTAACAGTAAAACATGCAGCTAACCATGAACCTAACCATAGCTCCAATCCTAAATCTCATCCTGATCGCAACCCTGACACTAACCATATCTTCAACCCCAACCCTTACCCTAACCCTAACCCTAGCACTAGCCCTGACTCTAACACTAAACACTAACCATTAAACCTAACCCTAACCATAACCCTAACCATAACCCTAACTCCAACCCCTAACACTAACCCCTTAACCATAACTATGCCTCTACGTGGTAGCTCACCATCCTTGCCGGTCTTGCACGCTCCCTGGTGAACCACGGTGATCTGGGAGCCAGTCTGCTCTTGCGCGCACAGCAGCCAGCACTCGTTCTCGTACGTCTGTCCGTCGCTTCCGCACAGCGGCATGTACAGGTTGAAGCACGTGCACGCCACGGCGGCGGGGGTGGGGGAGGTCGCCGGCGCCGGTTCTGCGCTCGATTCCGGTTCGGCAGTAGACTCCGGTTCAGCATGACCCTCTGGTGTGGATTCCGGTGTTGGTGTGGATTCCGGTTCGGCAGTGGACTCCGGTTCAGCATGACCCTCTGGTGTGGATTCTGGTCGTCAGCATGACCCTCTGGGTGTTCCGGGTTTCAGCATGACCTTCTGGTGCTGGCTTCTGGTTCAGCTTGACCCTCTGCCTGTGCGATTCGGCTTCAGCATGACCCTTCTTGCGTGTGGATTCCGCGTTCAGCATGACCTGGTTAGGTGATTTCTGCGTTTTTGGTTGCTGGATTCGGTTATGTGCTAGTGGATTCCGCGTTCGGGCATGACCTTCGTGTGGATTCCGGTTCAGCATGACCTCCGGGTGTGGAATTCCGGTTCAGCATGACATCGTGTGGATTCGGTTTCGCTGGCCTCTGGTGTGAGATTCTTGGTTTGGCGCTGGATCCCGGTTCGGCCAGTGGGATTCGCGCAGTTCGCATGACCCTCTGGTGGTGGATTTCTAGTTCAGCATTGCGCCTCTGGGTGTGGATTCAGGCGTTCTAGCATGGCCCTCTGCCAGTGTGCGTATTCTGGTTGCAACTGATTTCCGCGGTTCGGCAGTGGATTCCGGTTCGGCATGACCCTCCGGTGTGGATTCCGGTTCAGCATGGCCCTCTGGTGTGGATTCAGGTTCAGCATGGCCCTCTGGTGTGGATTCTGGTTTGGCGCTGGATTCCGGTTCGGCAGTGGATTCTGGTTCAGCATGACCCTCCGGTGTGGATTCCGGTGCTGCAGTGGCCTCCGGTTCCGCGCTGGATTCTGGTTCAGGAGTTGATTCCAACTTGGCACTTGATTCCGGTGTTGGTGTGGATTCTGGTGCTGCATGGCCCTCTGGTGTGGATTCCGGTTCAGCATGACCCTCTGGTGTGGATTCTGGTTCAGCATGGCCCTCTGGTGTGGATTCCGGTTCAGCATGACCCTCTGGTGTGGATTCTGGTTCAGCATGACCCTCTGGTGTGGATTCCGGTTCAGCATGACCCTCTGGTGTGGATTCCGGTTCAGCATGACCCTCTGGTGTGGATTCCGGTTCAGCATGGCCTTCTGGTGTGGATACCGGTTCAGCGCTGTATTCCGGGTTGGTAGTATTTTCCAGTTTCACACTGGGCTCTGGCTCAGCACTGTATTCCGGTTCCGCACTGGATTCCGGTTCTGCGCTGGATTCTGGTTCTGCAGTGGATTCTGGTTCAGCAGTGGATTCCGGTTCTGCGCTGGATTCTGGTTCTGCAGTGGATTCTGGTTCAGCAGTGGATTCCGGTTCTGCGCTGGATTCTGGTTCTGCAGTGGATTCCGGTTCAGCAGAGGAATCCGGTTCTGCGCTTGATTCCGGTTCCGCATGGCCTTCTGCTGTTGCATCCAGCTCAGCATAATGATCTGCGAAGAAAACAATCACAATCCAAATTAACATCGCACGATTAAATAAATCTAAATACGTCCTTAAATATAACTAAGTAACTCATAAAAATAATGCCCGTTGCCATGACGACACATACCTGCGCATGCGCCGTCGTGAGCGATCTTCAGACCGGACGTGGCATCCTCGGCTGCTTTGCAGGCCAGCAGACAGTCGTTGTTGTATGTTTCCCCGTCGGTGCCGCACACGGGCGTGAGAATCTTCGGGCAGAAGCAGGGTGGAGGCACCACTGCACATGATGAGCAAGAGAAAAGGTTCGGTCATGATGTGTGTTTATGATATGTTTTCATGCTAATAACTGTATAGAGGTTGTTCTACACTAGACACTACTATTATACTTACTGTACTGTACTGTACTGTACTGTACTGTACTGTACTGTACTGTACTGTACTGTACTGTACTGTACTGTACTGTACTGTACTGTACTGCACTGTACAGTACGGTACTATGCTATGTTATACTATACTATGCAGTATTGTACCCTACCGTACTATACCGTAATATACAATAACTATATTATAGTATACTTTACAATTGAACCATTACAATAGTATACAACTACACCATTACTATAGTATACAACTACACCATTACTATAGTATACTATACAACTACACCATTACTATAGTATACTATACAACTACACCATGACTATATTATAGTATACTATACAACTACACAATCACTGTACTATAATATACAACTACACCATTACATCAGCGTAGCAGCAGGGCTGTGCGTACCTTTGCACTGACTCGTGCAGAACGGCTGTGGCGACACGAACGGTGTCTGCTGGTGGTAGCTCGCTATACCGGTCTCCTTCTCCACGACCCCCGACACGTACGGGAACAGCAGGTGGAGACACTGGTCGTCGGTGAAGGCGGCGTCGGCAGCGTCGCCCGTGTCGGCGCGTCGGCTAAACGCTATCGTCGTCACGTTTCCCTGGCGGTAGCCGCGTCGGTTATAGAGGTCGTCGTGAATGTCGACGACGGGCGACGAGTAGTAGCTCATCGAGCGGTCAGTGATGGTGGCGCTGCCGTCGTCGTTGATCCAGCCGATGACGGCGTCCGAGTTTGACTGCGGAAGATGAGGAGGAGGTTGATTAGTATGATGAGGGATGGGGGGAGGTTACATCTCGGGTTTTCTCGTGTTCTTACTATCACTAACTTGGTTTCTCTCTCTCTTTCTTTCTCGCCCATTCGCTCTCCATGGCGTGCGCGCTCTCTCTCTCCCCCCTCTCTCTCGCTCATTCTCTCTAGCTTATTCTCTCTATATCGTTCTTTCTCTCTCCCTGTCTTTTGCTCTCTCTCTCTCTCTCTTTCTGTCTCACTCTCTCTCTCTCTCTCTCTCTCTGTCTCCCTGTCTCACTCACTCTCTCTCTTTCACTCACTCACTCTTGATCGCTCTCCCTCTCGCCCCTCTCCCCTTCTCCCTATTTCCCCCTCCCCTCCTATTCTCTTCCCCTACCCCCTCTTCCTCCCCTCTCTCTTACCATCCGCTTGTCCTTGGAGAAGCCGACACCGATCCAGTGATCCTCATCTGCCGTGCTCATGATCTCAAAATGAATCTCGTCTGTTTCGCCGTCGTACGTCCAGGTGGCGCTGTAGTCGCAGTCTCCGTCGCAGCCTCCCGGGTAGCCGAACGTTCCACCGCAGCGTGGCGCTGGCAGCTGCGGCGCGGGAGCGTTCTGCAGCGGCTCGGTTGCCTTGGTTACGACCTTGCTGGCGACATCTGTCAGAGAACAATGTAAATTGTTGGCATTGAGTTGTTGAGGTGACAAGGGGGAGGTCTCAAGTGCGCTTGAGAGAATCACACAATAATAAAAATAGCAATAATACTACTACTACTCCAGTACTATTACTACCTACTACTACTACTTACTACTCACTACTACTACTACTATTACACGACTAACTACATGACATACGTACTACGACCTACTACTACTAAACTATTACTATTACTATTGCTACTACTACTAACTACTACTACTACTACTACTACTACTACACTGCTACTGTCTGACTGCTACTACATACTACTACTAATATATTAATTAATGGAATAGTTAGAATAATAATAATAATCACCGAAGAAGTTGATGTGGTCCTCCCCGCGCTGCTGCGAGCTCCTGCCATGGTACTTGAGCTCGTCAAGTTTGTAGAACTCACGATTAGCGCCCTCTATCGGCTCGTGATAGAAGATTCCGCGCTCCTGCCCACGCGCCCAGATGACGTGCATCTCACCCGGCAAGATGGCGTGATCCTGTATCTCATCGGCTGTGAAGACAGAGGGCGCGGCGATCAGTAAACAATCGAACAGTAGATGAAAGGAGGATAAATAAACAAGAAAACGAAAATAAGACAAATACTCAGACAAGCGAACGGTAACTGAAAGAGGAATAATTAAACAAGAGAACAGCAGATGGAAGAGGAATAATCAGACAAGAGATTAGTAGACAAATGGAACGGAAATGAAACAACAAGAAAGCCACATATTGAACGGGAATTACCAAACAAGAGAACAGGAGATAAAACGGAAATGATCAAACAAGAGAACAGCAGATGAGAACGAGAGTGAATGAACAACAGAACGACAATCTGAACGGAAATGAACAAACAAGGAGAACCGCAAACGGTACGGGCTGGCACTTTCTCACACCCACCTGCCAGTTTCCAACAGCATAATGATACAGTAACCGTAACTTAATAGAAGATTAAGGAGTAAAAGGTACGGGCTCGCACTCTCTCACACCTGCCAGAGTTTGAAAAAGCATTGTGGTACGGTAATCATAAAGTAATAGAAGGTAGAGGAGTAAAGGATACGGTCTCGCACGCTCTCACACCTACTTGCCAGTTTCAAAAAGCAAGTGGTACGATAATGGTAAAGATCGAAAGCTATGCTAGAAATAGAAGATAGAGGAGCAGAAAGATACGGCCTCGCACTCCCGCACACCTACCTGCCAATCTCCTACGGAACCCGACCGTGGTCACACCGTCCACCTCCCAGCCGATGGCGGCCGTCAGACTGTCCACTCCGCCGTAGAACCTGTCCGGCTGAGGCGTTGACCGGTCCCTCGTGTAGTGGTCAAGCACGCGACTGAGCGAACCTTGGGCCGTGCCAATGACAATGTCCGTGCAGTCCATGTCGTGCATGCGGCCTGCAAGAACAGATAAAGGTTCGATAAGAAAGAAAAGAGAAAGAGAGAAGAAAGAAGAGAAGAAGACATGGAAAGTCAGCAAGAAATAATATTGAATTGGTCTACAAGGACAGATGAAAGGTCGATGAGATGGGGAAGACAAGAGAATGAAGAGATGGAATATTAGCCAAAAAAATTCCTTGGTTTATCACAATACGCAACTGCGTGTGATGAGGGCAGCGGAAGCTTGGTGAGAAACAAAAGAGAAAGACGGGAAAAAGAAAAGAACAGATGGAAGGAGAAAGTCAGCAAAAATAAAATTTGCTTGCTTTATCACGATACACAACTGCCTGTAAAGAGGGTAGAGAAAGATCGGTAAGATGGGGAGAAGAGATAAAACAGGAAGAGGTGGAAAGTCAGCAAACAATAATATTTGCTTGCTCTACGACAACACACAACTGCATGTGAGGAGGAAAGAGGAAGGTCGGTGAGACGGAGAAGAAAAAAGAGGAATAGTTAGAAAGTCAGCAACAGTTTGCTTCGTTCGTCACGATACGCAACTGCCCGTAAAAAAGACAAAGGAAGATTAGCAAACTAAGGTGCAGGGAGCGTGGAAGTAGAATAAACATAATACATGTGTTATACACAGTATACTCTTGCTGACCTTTCGACGCCGTGGAGGAATGGGGAGGTAGGACGAACATAATACATGTGTTATGCACAGTAACTCTTGCTTACATCTTGATGCGGCGAGGGAGCGGGGAGCGTGGAAGTAGGATAAACATAATGCATGTGTTATACACCGTGACACCGGCATCGAGGAGGCAGGGAGCGGTAAAGGCAGGAAAAAGGTGACATGTGTGTTCTACACAGTAGTTCTTGCTTACTTCTCGATGCGGTGATGGAACGGGGAGCGTAGAACAGCCCGTAGTCAATACCCGTCTGCAGCGCTTCTGTCGTTGTCGTCATTGTTGTCGCCGCCGCTGTCGTGGTTGGTGCAGTAGTAGTAGTCTGCGGCTAAAAGAATTTATTTATTTATATATTGATTAATTGATTGATTGATTGATTGATTGATTGATTGGTTGCTTGGTTGATTGATTGATTGATTGATTTTATTATCCATTTATTTATTCAATAATAAATTTATATATATGTATCTGTCTATCTATTTATTTATCTAGATTATTTATTTAGTTCATTGGTTAGTTCGATAACAAAAATGTTGTCTCGTTTTTAATTAGTAATTATTAATAATTAATTAATTTGTCGTTCTCACCGCGATGTTGATCGATGCGACTGGCGACAGAATGCCGACGTTGTTATCTCGCGGTCTGCCCCCCTCAGCGCCCTCTACCGGGATGGGCATGCCGGGAAGGACAAGGTCCATGCCCGGTCTGTGAGGTTCGTCGATCGCTTGCCTGAGATCGAAACGTGGTCATCGTCAGTATTAAATTAATGATTATCAACTGATTATTGATTAAAATCTCAGGCATGACTAATCTCTTGAAAACGACATCTTCTGATTTCTATAAATTCAGCATAATACCGAAAAAGATGAATAATCCAATCAAAAAAATAAAATCGGTTTTTAATCTTTTTAAACCGAAAGGGTTTTAAACGGTATCGTAATATATAAATTATATTCTTCCATGCTCAATTTAAACAACTGTATGAACAGATATTTATTGTTCAAAAGTCTCCGTTGCGAATCGTAAATCGTAAATCGTGTAAACAATTCCGTAACCGACGTAACCGGCCGTAAACAACGATGTAAACAACGATGTAAACAAGCGGTAAATAACTATGTAAACGTGCGCGTAAACAACGATGTAAACAAGCGCATAAACAACTATGTAAACAAGCGCAGAAACACCGCCTCCATCCTACCTCTTGGCTCGCGGTTGGAGCTTTGAAGTTCCGGGAAGAAATGGAAAGTTCCTGCAGGATGAGTCAAAACCCTTGGGACGCCATCCCACAGCGACCCAGCTCTGACTCTTTACCGTCATGTACATCTCTATCTCCGCAGTGTCCTGTAGCAGCGAAGGGAAAGGGTTAAAACTACGTCACATAACGGTGGTCGGAGTTTGTTCTATAAGACTTAGTGTTGCTAGTATACTCTCTTTTCTTCCCTCTCTCTCTCTTTCTGTCTTTCTTTCACTCTTATCTCTATCCCTTCTCTCTCACTCTCTTTTGCGCTCTCCCTCTCATTTACTTTATTGCTCTCTCTCTCGCTCTCTCTTTCTCTCTCACACCCATGCTCTCTTTCAGCTGACTCTCTATTCTCCCCACTCTTTCCGTCTCTCATCCTTCCTCCTGTTCCGCCTCTTCCTCTCTCCCGTCCTCCCCTCGCGTTTTTGCTCCATCCTGTTCTCCATCCTTCGCCTTCTCCCTTTCTTTCTCTTTTTGGTACGCTTTTAAAACCGCTGTCAAACTCACGTGCAGGATCCTCCAGTAAAGGGAGTAGTCCTTGCTGAGGGCCTTGTGTTCGTAGATGGCGCTGGTGAGGTCTACATCCGTGGATCTCATACGCGATTCTGTTAAAGTCGAGAGAGAGGTATCGCTGAGTTTTACTCTCAGACTATGTGTGAGTTATTTGTTTATTGCTTTTATCTATTACATATATATCCTTTTACTTTCTCGAAAGTTATTGTATATAACGTGGAATGGTTTTTACCATCTTAAACGTTTTTATTCATTTTCTCAATGCAAAATGAATGCGCTTTTAACATAATAAATAAAATTGTACGATAATGTATACAAAAAAAATGAAATATGAAAGAATTAAAACGAAACAAAATAAAATCTTAATAATCATAATAATATTCGATAAGATTCGAGATGATTTTAATAACACGTTTTAAAGGATTCAGGGTTAAGCTCAAACCCGCAATCGCACGAGCGAGTGCCCCCTACCTTTCTCGCAGTAGCGGCCAAACCATCCGACCTCGCAGTAGCACTGCATCTTAGGGAAGGTTGCCGCGGCCGTGTCAACGCAGCGTCCGTGTGCGCCGCAGTCCTCGTTATTCCAACACTCGTCCGCGTACTGACAGTACTCTCCCGAGTTGAGGCGATCGCAGCGACATCTACCGTCCAGTAGAAAGCCATTCCTGCCGCAGCTGTTGGTGGCGTCTGTGAGATAGAGAAGAGTGTGAGAGGGTGGTTAGAGAAGAAGAAGAGGAGGAGGAGGAGGAGAAGGAGGAGGAGGAGGAGGAGGAGGAGGAGGAAGAGGAGGAGGATGAGGAGGAGGAGAATGGAAGGAGGAGGAGAAAAAAGAGGAGAAGGAAAGGAGGAGGAGGAAGAAGAGGAGGAGGAGGAGAGAATGATGAAGGAAGAGAAGCGAGAGGAGGAAGAGAGATGAAGAGGAAGGAGGAAGAAGAAGAGAAAGGGAGGCAAGATAAAAGGAGGAGAGAGGAGGAGAAGAGGAGAGGAGGAGGATGAAGGAGGAGAGGAGGCAGGAGGAGATGGAGGAGGAGGAGGAGGGTTACAGAACGAGGGAGTGCCAGAAGAACATGCCCTCGGTAGTGTGGGGGATTGTGGACAAGCTTGTCACGCGCACACAGCACTGCACGCATGCACGCCGGCCAGCGCACGCACAGCACACACGCACCGCACCACACACACACACACACACACGACGACCACACACACCTGTGACGAAATGTTGACGTCTGCGCAGGTGCGGAAGGTAGTAACCCTGCTCCCCACTCGTTGCGCCTTCCTCACTTACCCTGAAATGAGCAGCCCCGAGCATGTTCTTGTCGCCGGCAGCCGCCACCTCGTGAGAAGATCCGCTGTCAAAACTTACGAGAAGAAATCTTACGTTAGAATTAACGGAATCAACGGTTCACTCATAATATATTAACGATAACTTAATTAGGCGGAGGAGATTGACGTGCGGTGTGACGAAATTATATTTGAGAGAGGCCGAAGGACGGAACTGTATGCAAGGGGTCGGAGGTTTTCCCAATAACAAACCCTTTCATAAAGACGTGGCTTAAAACTTCTATTGAAAATTTGCTCGCTATTCTATTGCTTCTTTTCGTCTCAATTGTCTGGGTTAGCGCAGTTTTATCACAATAAACTTGGCGCATGAACGAAATATCCGGGATATACAATGCTAGAAATCCATAGACCCATGGCGTTTTATATTCGTAAGAATGAACGAGTTTATTGAATTGGCATTGAGCATATGTCTGCGCCCCAAACAGGGGAATGGAGGTGAATATACGACTTTGCACACAATAGCCTTTTGAATAGAGACAGCCTTTTGTATATTATTGTATCATGGGGATGAATGCATAGACACCGGATTATCGCAGACTAGCGTAAGCCGAAAGACACGCTACGCAGTGGTGTGCAAACAACAACAAAGGTTGGGATTTATTATATGCAGGGTACACAACCGTCGAGCACCCCAGTTGCCCGGTGGCCAATGGGCGCTTGCACGGCCCGCAGGTAGATTTATGCGCATTGCGACTAGGAGAGTCCCTGCGGAGCGCGGAACGGAAGACGGGAGAGCAACACAGACGCAAATATTGAGAACACAGCCATGTCAAGTATTCGCGGGAAAGATAGAAAATAACAACCTCGCGTCCGCAACGAACTATTTACCCCCTAAACGCAGTCAGTCTCAACGATAGGTTCTTATGGTGCGCTACAGAAAGATAGTAGTGTAGCTATGTAGTGTTAGGCACGTTAAATGTAACTGTATGTATAATCGTAAGGTATAATACTAGTCTATATGTAACCAGCATGTATGCAATGTTCAATTATGGTAACTATATTGGGATAGGGTATGTTCAGTCATAATGTAATGCTATGATATTGTATGGATATTTAGTGTATGTCATTCGATATAACCGTGTAAGTATCTGTAGATTTATGTCATGTCTATATGTAAATGTAATGATTATCGTATGAATGTATGTATGTTATTTGTAGTATCGTGAGGATTAGAGGTACTTATGTGAGGGTATCAATGATAAGGAGTTGGTCACGTAATATGACGTATTATAAAATGTATTATGTTTGTATGTGATGTTTATGTATTGTGTCAGTGACAGTGACTATATGCTATGTACATAGTACCTGGGTCATGTCACGCATGATGGTATAGACTATCGCTATTAAATCATGATAGACTGCGGAAAACCAAGGTGCATACTATGCCTTACTCGTGAGGATTAAGCTAAATTGGGAGTGGATATGTCAGTCTGATGTCACAAGTTAGGTTAACGTTGAATGTGAATAGAATAGTATATTTGTAATGACAATACGCTCACGTGAGTGCAATGTTACCAGGTAATAGTAAGTATCTTATCCAATAAGCATACCGTCTTACTGAAAGGTGTAAGTCAATGAAGAAGTCATTGGATGCTCATGGCACCATCGTATGGCTACTGTAGTTAATGGTATACATAGTATGATATAATAGAGAAGCTACACCACTGCACAAGCCACAACAACAACAGATGCGTGAGTCACCGAAAGAAGCAGGCACGACGCACAGAATACACATGACATCACATTACCAGTAGCACATACTATGTATCACATCCCAAACATTTTGCAGTTCGTTACAACTACAAGTGGTCATCACATACAGGCTACCAAGCTACCAATAAATACAGTAGAACAATTATAGCCATGACGATTACATACATACAGGTAGTCTATCAATTACACACATATACATTAGCGATAAGATTGCAGTAAGCGACTACACTAATAAATACACTATATACATATTAGACGTATTATGACATTAGCAATACATACCATACATATGATTCATCATATGTATAATGAACTAACAAAGAGCATAATGCGAGCCTATATAAGGTTTTAGTCTAGAGAGTACACATAACATGTACATATCTATTACATTAACATTACGAGAACATAGTCATTACATACATTTAGAAACACAAAGTCACAATATCGACATAAGCTATAATTGTACATTTACTATTAATATATAACACATCAACACATTTATGCACACTATACATGTATCAGTATATCATAACAATACATATGCAGTAGCATAACAATCGTACATTACAAAAGTTATACAATTCGCTAACGATCTAACAGTACCATGCAATTAGCAGGTAGCATATACATAACTGATCACCTATTAATCACTAATTCCAATTTATTATTACTATCTTAGCACAATTAAGCAATTCACACATACAGAGAAATTGCATGCGAGTATACAGCTACCTATGAGCGAGATACCCAACATAAATGTTACATCCAACATGACAGTACTCAACACACATATGCGAATGATACACAATGTATTAGCACATCACATCACTACTATAGCAAAGCGATAGCTAAGTAACCACTATCACAACACACTTGCTGAGCAAGTAGACAACCTAAGCAGCGGATAACAATACAACCGCAACTACATAACATGAACATCAGAGGCGAGTAACACGAGTAGCATTGAAAATAACCGAGTAGACCGACTCATCCACTTTATCAAATATCATTCCACAAGTTACCTATCACCTAAATACCCGATCAACCCAAGCTGAGCAACGCGCGAAATATTAACACTTAGACTCGTATCTTGAGCGAGTGCCTAGCGCAGGATAAATTTCGAGAGAAAAGTAGAAGGAGGCCTGAGCGATATCCACGGTGTATGCAATACTCTATTAGCAGGTAATTGCCTGGTATTTTCTGAGGAATAAATAAACTAGTCCTGGCTAGGCGTGTGTCAGTACCTGTCGCGGGTACGCAAACCAGACTTTATCGTCACGAGCCGCAGCGTTGTACTGCTCAAATGGTTATACTAATCAAGCAACCACTGTCGCATTTGCGAATATTGATCACACTATTACCCACCTTGTGACTATCCTATAGCTTTTGTCTCTCTTTCTATACACACACATAATCGATATTTATAATTTTAACTGCACGTGGCACGTACGTCTGTAAACGTTCAGTGCCAGCTCATAGTAATAGCCGGTGTACCAGGATAGAGCTGCTGAGTGCCGTAGACTATGCTGTCGCGGACATAGTCACCTAAATCGAAACCCGCAGTTTGTGAGCAGCTCAGAGTAAATCCAATGTATGACTACCAGAGATGGCGGCGTATCAGCATACTATAAACACACACAAACGAATGTTCTGCGGGTTCGAGGCGTCATACAAATGAGAGTTACGCGTGATTGAATAGGCTGAAGCATTGGCTCTTCTACGCTACACTCTTCGTCACTTGCCTGTTACCCTTGGGGCGCAGACATGCCCAATGTTCAAAACTGCAGCCACTACGTGTCTCTGAGAGCCATGGAAACCTCCTACACCATCATACACGAGTAAAACGTAAATCTCACAGATTAAAAGCGCCAATCGGTCACTTAAGTCATGCTTAATCTCCATATGATTATAATTTCACTCGAAATCACAGTTCGTTACATCAGTGGCCCGAAAGTATTAATATGTTCATAAAATTATATAATGAGTTTGATATCAACTTTATACGGTGAGCCACCGACACATTAAATTAACATATCACCTAACGATAAATTCTGAGGTGCATAATATACGATATAAAATAAAATGAAAGTCCGTCAGTTAAGAAATAGGATCGAGATCGAACATCACTTATCTTACCAAAGTGTACTGTTATGGTCAAAATAGAAGTTTGTTAGTCACAATGTCGTCTATTATTATGATAGTAAGGTTTGATAAAGTGGAACAAAACCGGCGAGACGCCCACTAATAAATCACACGACAGTGTATAGAACATACTTAAGTTTTTTGCCGCGTCCTCGTTTCCATCTGAAATATAATTCCCTTGTATTCGTATAATCATGAAACAGACTACATAATTTAAGATTAAATTAATAATAGTTAGAATTTCCTAGCTAACTATAAGGAACATCTATCGTTATTCATTGTGTTGAGATTCCTATAAACTGTATGACATCGAGAGATCATCTAAAATATGTATAATCGGCTTACACACGAGTAATTTCTTCCTCCTGAAAGTCTGATTGCGCGAACACAGAACCGTAATGAAGTCATATATTCACAATGACCACTAGACAGAAGTTTATTTGCGGTCAGCTTCTGAGCACCATGCGTTTTAAGATGAGACCCACACAGAGCGCGAATATTATCACCTACACGAGGCATCGTTACAATTATTACATTGCAAGCTCAGCAGACACAGTTGAGCATAGCAGAGAGGCGAGCACAGAGAGTGGCGGATCATGAGAAGAATAAAACTTAGACATACAGTCCGCATACCAAGTGCCTGCGCCACGGAGTACAGCGCGTCATTAAACACGTACAATCATCTGGCATGCACTGAAGTGTGCTGTTGTTGGTGTAGGTGGTGGCGTGTGGTATTCTAGTTAGTGTAAGGTGTGCGCCGCTGACGTCCGCCGTAAATGTGCCGTGTCCAGTGACGCTATAGCAGCTGCGCGTGCAATAAGCCGAGTTGGACGAGGTCGACCGGAGGGGTATGGGCTGATCAGGAGATCCTTCTACCACACAAAGGCTTAAGTCATCTAATTCCCGGACCGTTACTACATAAACCTGCGAAGCGGAGCAATGTGCGTCTGCCGTACGTTTAAGTTCTGCGGAATTAAAGACGGTAAACCTTCCCCTGCTGAGATCACCGTCTAGCCACCAACAACTATTTGCAAGACAGAATAGGTAAGGCACTCATCCATACTCTATCGCAAGCCTTACAGTGCTGAATAGAGAGCTCCAACCTGTAAACTAATTAACGCAGGTAAA